GGGTGACTTTGCTCAAAGCCAGACAGTAGGAGAGTAGACAGCAGAGCGCTAAAAGGAGGGGGGTGCTGAGTAATGCAGGTGGTTGTGTATGTGTAGGTAGCTAAGCCAGAATTCAGGTGTGAAAGTAACACAAAACCAGGTGCATACAAGTGAGAGTAGAACAAGAGAGATGAGATTAAAAGAAAGTGTGGCTGTTGCCTCTCCACCTGGCCATAAAGCAGCACCTTCCTCCCTCCACTGAGGCCTTTGTTTCACGGCTAATGGTCCAGGTTAATTGCACAGGTGACTTTCTGTGGGGGAACAGATGGGCTCAAATGTGTTCAAAAACAATCCGCAGCAAGCAAAAAAAAAAAAAGAAAACTGGGAGCGAGTTGTTGCTCTCCTCTTCATTCTTCCTGTTCTTTCTCATCTTATCCACTGGAGTCATGGAGGGCGACTGGGGTGAGGTTAAACTCTCACTGTGTTCCTCTTTCACAGTGGTTTCAATTCATCAAGCACAAGGCCTGTAAGCTCTCATTAGATCTCATTACAGTGCAAATTAGACTCAGGGATTGGCTACTGGAAGGATAGTGGATGGTAGTGGATAATAGACATCTCTCCTATGCCTGATGTTCCTCATGTCCAACACTCTAATTTGGTTAGGGAGGAGAGTGCTACGCTTATATAAATTCAGAGGATATGTAGATGTGATTGATTAAAACATGTGACTATGATAAATGTCATCATTTTGTATGCTTTCGCTGTTTATCTTTTCAGTTAACATGCCACTGTTGCTACCAGTTTCACTCGTGGCATATAGGATGTCTTAATTTGCCATTATATTAAAAACCAACACATACCAGACAGAAGCTTTTTAAAATTCAAAGAATTATTTGTCTCTCTTTTCCCCCATGAATCATGAGGGCTGCATTTGAGCCATCGGAAATTGAGTTCTCGATCGATCCACTATGTTTTTTCTCCCCAGCACAACATGCAGGAGATGACAGATAGCAAATTGAATTTATGAAGAGAGTTTGTTGACACTGCTGCATAATTATAGGAATGCCATGCCTTTGGTGTTTAAAAGAGAGCCCAGCGTTTCATTCAAATTCACACAAGGTTTTCTGCTTCGATGATTCCGTGAAAAGCATTGTCATGTTTTTGAGGCGACAGCTGTTCTTTTATTTTGCAGTTTTGTACATATTTTGAATTTTGTAGATGACTGATTTTAATTGGTAGAAACAAACAAATGAGATGTTTTTGCATAATGTAGGCTTATTTTTTTGATTCCTAATTGATCCTTGACTGAGGATTAAGAGTTTATATGGAGGCATCAATGATGCATTGGTTTTCTGAAAGACTTGGCAAGATCCCTTTGTCTCCTCTAACTGATCTTGCCATGAGCAGCCATGAGCATAGGTCATCCTGCTGACATTAGCTGAACTACGCTCTTTATTTCCCTTCTTCTGACTATCTATCCCGTCCTCTTGCTGTCTTTGTTTGTCAAATTTATACTCACTTGTCATCTGAGAAATCTGCACCATGAATTTAGATTAGTTAAGTGGAGCCAGTACTCTTAAATATAACATGTGTTTGTATCACTAAAAATGTCCTGGCAGCTTTAGGTGAGGCTCTGTGTGCCTGTGCTTGCATACTGCAGTGTATGTTTTAGAAATAATTAAATGTCACAGGGCTCAGGCCGTCAAGTATCCAGGAAGGTATTTTACGACCTTGTGTCTTGCTTCGCTCCACTAGTCCCTCTCAGTATCCCACTCCTCCACATGCACTGCTGCGCCAACAGGAACCCTCTTCACTTTTCTCCCTTGCTGCCTCCTGTGCTCTCTCTCTCTCTCTCTCTCTCGCTCTCCCACTTCTTTGTCTCTGCATTCTACCTCCTCCTGCTTTCTTTTCTTTATATCTTCGTTCCCCAATAGTGACACTTACAGTATCTGTGCCTATTCTTTTCCTATCCCTCCCTTTCCTGTTGACACTCGATTTTATGTCCTGCTCATGGGATTGCTGAATGGTACATTGCAGCCACTTTCTTCCAGTTTTACTGAATGTACTTTTTTTTTCTTAGGGAAAAACTAATCTGATGTGTGAAGTTTTTATGCCAATCCTGCTGAGGGCACATTGCTCTTGTTATCCCTCCTAATTAGAAAATGTGATAGTGCTGCTTGTAAATATATTGTAGAGTGAGCCAATCCCCAGGGCTCAGTGTTACATTTGGCACAGCCTCTGGGTCCAGATACCACCTGATGTTCAGGAAAAGGAGGGGGAGAATTGGGGATTGGAGGTAGGCAGGGATCAGAAAGAAAGATATGAAAAAGGTACACCATCTCTCTCTGGGAGGTAGAGTTTGATAGAGCTTTATTTCTGCTCTTAAAGGTTTAACTGTTTAAGAAAGTACCTGAAAGTGCAAAAGCCGCAACCGTGTTCCACAGTTCCACAAGCTTTAATAAGATCATTAAAGGACCCCGGGGCTGTCTGTTGAGGTGCCCACCAAGGTGTTTCATCACTGGAAGGGTTTGTCAATGTCTTGGGTCTTAGCCCATCTTAACCCATTTAGAAAGCAATTTCCTGTGAGCAGAGGGGATCTTTCCTCTTGAGAAAGATCTTTGGGCATGAAAGGTTAGCTTTTCTGTAATTCCCTAGCATGCAATCTACCACTGCTGTTAATGAGAAGCGGATGAATATTTGCCTTAGGTTTAACAGCTCAAAATAAGACAAGAGTGAATTGCAGGAATAAGGCAGAAATGTCTGCTTAAGTTGGCAATGTTGCAATAAGTAGTGAAAAAAGTTTGCTCTGAGGATTACAAGAGTAAGTGTAGTCATATAATTCATAGTTCAGTTTAACTTTTTTTCTTTTCTTTTTTTAACTTTTTTTCTACTAAACGCTTACCTTGTCTTTGCAGATTTGTTGAATATGTACACATAAATATATGTATATGTTAATAATTTCATAGTCTGAAGGCTCATTTGTGAGAATTTCTTGCTCTGGGTAAGACCTGCTCGAGTTTAAGCTGTGGCCCAATAGGACATAGTTAATTGAGCACTGTGAGGTGACTGGGGAGTATGTTTCCCATTTTAGTCATTTTGGTTCTTTGTGTCTGCAGTCATCCCGCTGAACCTCAGTCTACCAGGGCTCCCAAGTCCTGGCCATTACAAATGATGAATTGTGCTACAGTTAAGCTAGAAGTAGGACAAATTGATCAAAGTGTCAGGTGCCCCCTGTGATGTCTGGGTCTCCATGAAGAAGGCAGTGAAGAAGGAGCTGTCAAAAAGTTTCTTATGCCAAGGTGGTTGTAGATAAATGTTTACCTGCCACTTAACACTTTCTGCCTTTTGTCAGAGGCACAATGTGTCCTTGCTAACCTACATAAGAAGAACGAGTAGCTAAAGATCTTGGGAGTAGATACAGTTATAGTAGCTGCAAGTTGTTCACCATATTGTTCTTTAGGTCCACAGCAGATGAAACCCATGCCTCCCCTTTTAAACCAATGAGCTTGCTATCTGAGGTGTAGTGCTGCAATTTGAGATAAGCACTACTTGGCTCAGCTTTGGTTTTGTTCTGATAAAGCTGGTCTAATTAAGCTTGATTTAATCGGGATTGCTTTTAAGCACAGCACACAGCCGGAACAGATACTTTGATTTCAAAGTAGCCCTTGGGAAGGACTTGAGGAAGAAAGAGAAGGAATAAGAGAGAGAGCAAAATTAGTGTGAGTACAAGTGAAGAGTTGCTTTTTTTAAATTTACATAAGACATGTTTCTATTCTTAGTTGTACTGTCTTCTTGTGTGAATGATTGCAGGTTGGGTGGTTTGGAAGAGAAGGGAAAAACATGCACAACCCTGACTTTCTTGTAATGGCAAAATACATTCCGTTTCCTTAAATTAATCGTGTGGCATTCAGTGTCAACGTGTTTGGTTCATATATTCAATTTGCCTGACTGTCGTATCCCATTGAGTACATGCAAGTTACAAAAGATTGATCACCCCAGTGTCCGGGAAAAGTGCTGTGTGCTGAGAGTAGCAGTTGTCTCCACTTATTTTCGAATGTTTCCCTTCAGCTGTGGCTGTAAGCACAGTGGAGGAACAAGATGCCTGCACCCTGATAGTAAACATTGGGGAAGAGCTAGTTCACTCATGTATGCAAAAGAATTGATGGCCAAGTCTCCAGCTCCACAATAAGTCACCCTAATGATCCTAGTTTTAAATAATGTCTGTTCTGGACCAGAATGATAAAAAGGGTGCCCCTCTGACTCATTAGTATTGGGGCGTAAAGATAGATGACCCAGATATAGGACCTAAGCTTATTTTTGAACCTCTTTTCCATTGAGCAGGGTGCTGCATGTGCACAGTTTGAGCACAACGTGTCATTCTTTTGGCCTCATAGCATTTGAAGTGTCTCCTACCTGTCTCTTCAGCCGTGCCGAGTGCCTCCAGTTCTCTAGTTTCATGGATCCACACGACAGCTGGAACGGTGGGCAGGGGGAATGTTTTTCGAAGGCTGGTCCCGGTGTCATTGACTGAACAATGATAGAGCGCCCCGGTATTGAGCGGCTCCACACTAAATCTTTGTAAAGAGCACTTAGCTCCCCTGCGTTAGCCACAGAAAGAATATCTGTCAATGACCATCAGTGGATGCTTTCATCCTGAGGCTCCTCTGCCTGTATTAGTTGCTAAGCTCTTAGTGTATTTTCCTCCTCCCCAGCTGCTTACTGAAAAAAAGGACAGGCCTGAGTGACAGGCCTCTGTCTCAATACTCATACAAGACCTTTAAAAGACTTGTTTATCTCTCATTCAGAGTAACGGCACTCTCTTGCTGTGATGTAAGGTGATTTTTCATGCACCTGTTGTTCGAGGGGCATCCATTGTTCCACACCAGAATGCCTAAGAATTAGACCTTGAAACAGTCATGCATAAATGTGTTCATGTGTATATATACATGTACTTGTCCTGTTCTGTTAACGTATATGTTGTCCTATAAACAGCTTTGTCTCTATTATGTCATCTCTTACAGAGGGAGATGAAACTGGTGTGATGGATAGCCTAATGGAAGCTCTACAGTCCGGAGCAGCCTTCCGTGATCGGCGAAAACGGACGCCACGCAACGGTAAGGCGGCAGAAAAACACTGTCTTTATAATTTATAATTTTTGTTACTTCAGTCATTCTCACTTACTGTGTCTGCAGAAAAAAATCTGCCTGCTCTCTTTAGCTGTTCAAAGTTTACATGTAATATAACTGGCTCCTGTCTATCATACAAAAGAAGCTCACCTGTTTGTATATACTTAGTGTGTGTTCATGTGCTTGTGCTTGTGTCCCTTTGAATGCTTTCAAAGATTCGTTACTGATACACATTTCCATGGACATGTATAGGAACATATGCGCATATAAAGGAGGTGCCACACAAACAAGCACATGTGTGGCCTATTGCAGGTCATTAGTAATTTATTATCCCTTTGCCATTCATAAAGCAATTATTATAATGTAGCCATGCTGGCTGCAGTTGGACTGAGGCTGATTTAGTGTAATCCTGGTGTTAACATATTCCATTCTGTCATGATGAATGGCGCATGCCCAGCCAGTAGGGGTGCCAGCGTCAATTGATATGCAAGTCAGAGTTCTGCAGAAGAGCCACAGGTGTTGCCATCTCCACACTGGCAATCATGGTAAGAAAAAAAGAGGGGAGCAAAAATCAAACCAATCAGACCAACCTTTTAAATGCAGAGCATTTCTGACTAACCCCTATATTTTAAGATTGTTGCTGAACAATATTTACATCTAGAGAAGTTGTAGAGTTGTAATGATGTTTCAATTTCTGCCAATAGACATTCACTCTTTGCCTTTTTAATGCCGATTCATATTACTGAAGTGTTTTAATTCCGGTGTATTAGCTACTGTTATTAATAGCAGAAGGATTATTAGTAGCAAATATTTGTTGTTGCCCTACAAGATAGATGGCACTTTTAATCTGAAGCAGAAGGTTAGTACTAGTATATTAGTAAGTCCTGTCCTATTCGGCTGTTGACAATGTATTTGGCAGTGAAATTGTACCTGCTTGGTCACATGGCCAGGACATACTGGTCAGGCCCTTTCCAACTCTTTGGGTCACACTATGGCACTCTACCAGTTCTTTTCTTTTTTTCTCACAATAATTAGTTTTAACAATTCTATTTTTATTTTTCAGTGCTCACATATTAACTGAATTTACATATGCTAGTACACAGATCATTAAAGGACACTGACTCATTTTGTCTCAAAATATGTATTGCATGATAAAATGATTCACTTTAAATATTCAATGATTAAATATAATTAAAATTATATTTTCCCTTCAACTTGTGTATATATAATTTGTTGACAAATGGATCGCAACAAACACAAATGCACATAATCATTTTCTCTCATTTCAACACATACAGTATTTTACTTTTCTTCACCTTTCATTCCATATTTCTTTATTGGGGTTTGATTTGAGCATGTGCCTGTGTCCTGGTGACTTAGCAAAAACTAAACTCTGGGAGTGGTTCATTCCTGCAAAATATCTGAAACTTGTCAGTTCTGATGCCTTTTTCTCTTTTCCTTTTTCTCCATCCTTCCCTTCTTTTCTTTTTTCTTTTCTTTTTATTATCACCAACGTTGTTGCAGGTGATCAAAGCCCTTCCAGTCCAGCCTCCCGGTGGCCGGGTGCTAACTATGGTAACAGAACCCTAGGTGTGTGTATTCAACTACTGTTCTAACCCAACACCACCCTGTCTCCTACTGCACTTCTCCTGGCTGCATAACACCTATGTCCTTCCTGTCAGAACACTCAAACTTAGCTGGTCTACAAAATGCAGAGACTTTTGCTGAGTTACTGCATTAGACTTTGCAAATAATGAGATGGTCAATGTTATAATATGTAAGATTTACTGTATGTAAAAAAAAAGCAACCATAAAAGCTTTAGGTGGACGAGGAACTTATATTAAAACAGAGACAAAACGTGTTTCTCGTAAACACATGTAGCTCCTCACTGAGAAAAGCATCTGCAGTTTCAAAATGAAGCGACACTAATTTTAGCAGTTAGGTTTCGTAGTGAATAATGATTTCTACAGTAATGTTACTAGAAACATGTTTAAATACGCAACATGGATGAAATCGAAACACACCCATAACTGAAGTGAAACTATTGGTTTCACTCTAACTTAATTTTGCAGTGACACATCAACAGAACTGACTAATTCACTGATGTGCATTAGCAAGACTTTAGCAAAGACCAGGTGAGGATTGCCATAAGTACAGCTTGCATTTAATTGTATTCTCTCTCTTATGTGCTGTTAGGTAACACTTCTCTTTGCTCATATATTTACAGCACACAATACAAAAGGAAAACCATCATGATATTTTAAGTCCATGCAAATACAGAGGTGAACCATAAGGTAAAAATACCTGTGCTTTTGACTAATGGCCATAAGGATGAAATTTACAGACAAGATGATGTCTTGTGTATATTGAAGAATAAATGAAATTACTCCACAAAGAATTGTGGGGAGAAGATGTCGGCACCTTCTCAGCATCTTGACTGGAGAGACAATAATAAATATTAATGCTGCTGAGTGACGTGATGTAAATCTTACATTGAATACCCTTAAAATCCAATACAGTAAAGTACACTGCTATTGAAGTTGCATTTGTGCTGGCACTTTGATCCCTAATATTCAACCTGGTAACACCAATATAATCCTAACAGTGTTCATGCTACTTGAAGGAAATCGTTTTTGATTTACTCAGCACAATTTCTGTCTTGTAGAGCAGCTACAGTTATCATCCAATTGTCCTGCTTTTCCTGTTAGCCTATGTTGCCACAGCATGATCACTTCCTGTATTGCGGTGATGTTTAGGAAGTGTTGTAGGCCTTTATGCTTTGGCCACTCACAATGTTTTTTTTTTGTATTTTACCTTTCTTTTTGCCTATATGTTTGATAAATAACAGCACCCCAGATTTATGCAAATGCTTTTAGTCAAAATGAATTGCCTGTGACTCTCGACAAGCAGGTTCTCTGTTTATTGCAACAGTATCTTTCCATCTATAATATGTTTAATCTGTTTCTAATCTGTTCAATATTTCCACCAACATAAAGGCTGTGAAATGTTTTTGTACATTTGTTTGTACATTCTAATTTATTCTGTTTGTTATTTTGTGAATGGAATATTACGGGGGCATCGAGAAGTGGAGAGCGTCCATTGTGGCGGTCTCATTCCGTCGTGTGTTTGCAGATGAATAAGTCCTATTGGTTTCACTCGACCGTGACCTCTAGTGTGAACTTGACAGTTTGTAGACAAATGTGAAGTTGGGGGGGGGGGGGGGGGGGTGACAGTCAGAAGCTTCACGCCTGAGACCATGGTACTTGGAAAATGATGCAGTGCACCCTTTGGGTTAGGATCATATGGTTGTCCCAAGTGAAAGAGTTTAATTATCTAAGGGTCTTGTTCATGACAGAGGATAAAATGGAGCATGAGATTGACAGTTTTGTGTTATACCTCCAGTGATGTGCCTCTACACTCTAAACGTACGGTCTTTGTTAATGAATATGCTTGATATTTAATCAAATATCCTGTATCTCTGTGACCTATTTTCCTATTCCTGTGACACGACCAAGATTACTGTGGCTCTTGTGATGGCTCTCTTTCCTGCATGCCATTGTGCATCAGACTCTTCTGACCACACTCTCCTAGTGCACACCACTGCTATGCTACCAGAAGGTATTATGCGCTGACGGTTCACTGTTTATTGATACAGAACTGTACTGTGGTTTGATAAACAGCTGCATGGATTCTCTACTCTGAAGTGATGAGAGGGGAAAATCCTTTTGACATGCTGGCTCTATGGATTTTTTTCTAAATGGAATCTGGAAATGATTTCAGCTGCAATAGAGCAAAGGGGGAATTTGTCTCATCTCATGAAAGGGGGCAAATAGAAATCTTTACGCACAGTTTGAGAAAAATGTTTTAAAAAGTACACTCTGTAAGGAGAAACAATTATGTTACCCACTGATGGATGATTTGGTGACAAAAGGCATCTCAGTCACTCAAAGCTGTCTTTGGATTGTTATATTTTTGTGTATGAGAACTGTCAATGTTTAAGTCAGAAGTTAAAGAATGATGGTGTGACTTGTGGGTCGGTGCAGCATTATTAATGTGTAAATACATTTGTTGCGAACATATTTGATTTCTCTCTGACTCAGGGACTGACAGCATTTCAGTGTCTGTATTTACTGGTAAAAAATGTTCCCTGAGCAGTTATATCAGACAGTGTGCCAAATCTATTCACTCCTGCTTGTCATGTCTGTTGTAATCTCATGCTTTAAAGCTTGATTAACCTCCTGTCACCCTCAAATGAGCACCGTGTACCAGAGAGAGTCTCTCAGAGTCGCACATGATTCTTTGCTTACGTCAAAGGAGTTCATTTAAACCCAGCATGTCGTTCTTTGTCGTCCTTCAAGCTAAACTACACTCCAGCAGACTACCTCAAGTGTCAGGCTGAACACAATTCTAGGCGCCGCCAGTCACAATTACACCCAATTCCAGAAGCATTTCCTATTTCCTAGTCTCCACTTTGTATAAGATGGAAAACCTAACCCGGGAGGCCAGACTCATGTGTTATGCAATTACACCAGCCAGTCCTAATTCAACACACAGAACCTTGATGGAATGACGGTTCTGTTGGAAATTCTATCTCATTTCAGGAAGATAATAAATAAAGTATTTTGTGAGGTTGAATCTGATTGGTTTAACAATATATTATACTGGGGTTTTTTTCCCCCACAGACAGTGTACTTCAGAATTAAGTTTCACTCGAATAAGGCTAAAAAAGATATGAGTTATCCTACTCCTTTTCTATCTCCTATTCTCTTTCTGGTGAGACAGTTACCTGGGTATCTGGCAGGAGATTGTTGGGTAGAGAGCAGGAGCCTCTCATACATCCTAGCTCATCGATTTTCGGTCAGGGATGAAAGCCACAGACTCAGTAGGTCTTTCATACTGGGGGGCATCCCAAAAGACACATCAATCAGATTTCAAAGAGAACCAAGCCAATCTTATTTATTTACTGCCTTTTCAATGTCATTACAATCCCAAACCAGAGCCTCTCTCCTTTCCTCTTTCTGCCCCGCTCTCCTGCTTCTCCTTCACAGGTCAGTCCATCAAAAGTTCCATCCTCTGTTGTATATAGTGAGTCTCCTAAGGACTTATTTGACATTGAACAGGGAGGGATCATCATATGCCCATTAAAAAATAGAGATGCAGTGATATAATGCTTGTCAGGGTTCTGGAATTTCAGCCCAACTGTCTAATCCCCTGAAGCCTAGTAGTTAATTCAGCAGGTCAGGCCACAGAGTGGGCCCCCTGTATGTTTAATGAAGATTAAATTACCTATTTTCTCTCATGAAAATTTAAAGGAAAAAAGGGGGTGAATCTGCAAAGAGGCAAATGAAAAGAGAAAAGGGAAGTGTCTTTAAGAAGGAGATGCAGGTAAAGGCAAAGAATTCCCCCTTGTTCTCTTACATCCTCCAGCCTCATTTGTGACATAAATGATCTGTTAATACCTACACTTATTACTTATGTGTTTGTGATCCACATCACCCTGATGTAGACAGCCACAACATGTTCAGTCGGGCAGCTATTTTCTCATCTTTCCCCTGATCTGGGGAAAAATCACGCGTTTGTTTCTTAAATTACATCAGAGGAAGTGATAGTGATCGTAATTCCCGCAGCAATTAATTTGCTCACACATACATTGTACCCATCGCCTTATCTCTCTCTTGTTGTCTCTCAACCTCTCTAGCAGTTGTTCTCCTGTACTGTTTCACACACACACGTGCAAGCTTGTGTCACATATCAGATAGGGACTGTTGCAGTAGGGTGTGTCTGAGTTGAGGGCTAAAGGGCTTTGCCTGCACAAGCTTCTGGCTTCCACTTCAGGGTTTTGATAGATGTTATTCATTGGGGCTGCCCTAGAGGTGATCGTACAGGAAGTGGAGCTAACATGATTTGGGGCGAAGAGACCCAGGGGGTGTCGGTGCCTCTTGCTATAGCTCGGATGGCTTAGTAGATGTGAGATATCAATAGAGTAGATGAGGGCAGAGCTCTGTAGATATGTGCCGCTTGAAATCTATCACCTGCTTCTCATAGATAAGGATATTTATCAACAGCCAAAGGGAAAGGCAGATGGGAAGGAGTTGAGGCATGGACAGCCACTCCATTTAAGATTTGACGTCCTAGGGCACAGACAAAGCCATTGTCCCTCCCATTGACCCATAGGGCCTTTCTTTGGACCTGATAATTTTTCATCCTCAGCAGAAAACCCATTATGGAAATATAGATGAAGATTTTATGTACCATTTGAGTACCCTTGGCGCATAACTAATTCCTTGCTTGACTCTGCCAAGAGAGGACGAAAGTAAGTGAAGTGTAACATGGAGCCATTTTGAGAGGATAAATCAAATCTTAATAAAAGGCAGTCTTTCTGAGTGGACACCAGGGGTCTCTCGCCTCTGCCCCCTCTGTTAACTACCCCCTAAACCCTTTGCTGTTTAAATTACACTAAAGCTATCTTCTTGAGTACAGGGTATCAACAGGGGGCTGTCTGCGTGCCCTTTTGATGCCATTATGCCCTTTTACAACGCCCTGTATGAGAAGACTTATCATGTGGAGCCTGTCTCCCTATGGTAATGCT